TATCTGATATGTAGGATCTATTTTCATTCCCTAGACCAAATTTGGCACAAATATCCAAATTTGAATACTGGTAGAGTTGGGTGGGATTGATTTTGTCATTTAGGAGTTGTAGTTGCTGGGATTTATAGTTCACCTACAATCTAAGAGTATTCTGAACCCCACCAATGATGGAATTGAACCAAACTTGACACACAGAACTCCCATGACCAACAGAAAATACCGAAAGAGTTTAGTAGGCATTGACGAGTTTTGGAGTTATAGTTCACCTATATCCAGAGATCACTGTGGATTCAAACAATGATGGATCTGGACCAAACTTGGCACAAATATTCAATATGCCCAAATTTGAACACTGGTGGAGTTTGGGGGAAACATACCTTGACACTTGTGAGTTGTAGTTGCTGGGATTTATATTTCACCTACAATTAAAGAGCATTCTGAACCGCATCAATGATAGAATTGGGCCAAACTTCCCACACAGAACCCTCATTCCTTGAACGGACTCACTGGCATGAGTCTTCCTCCCACCTTGCATGCTCTCCCTCACCCACACATGTGCACTACACTGCAATGCACCAAGCACACCTGCCACCTCCTCCCCACTTGGAGTCTCAGAAACAGCCCTCCCCTTGGCTGAGAGGCCAGCCAATCACAGCCGAGGAGGGCTCTTGGTTGGAGGATAGATCATGTGTTTTCAAAAAAGAAGAGAAGGGCAGGCAGGGAGGTCTTCAGTCTTCTAGGGGGGTTCCTAAGATCATCAGAAATATATGTTTCCTGATGGTCTTTGGTGACCCTTCTGAAACTCCCTCGCAACCTCCCCAGGGGTGCCAACCCCCAGGTTGAGAAATGCTGTTCTAACCAGCAAGGACTGAAGGGATCATAAAAATATAGATTTGCATAATCATAGAGTTGAAACATACCCCAAGGGCTATCTAGTTCGATCTACTGCTGGTTTAACCTGTTATAGTTTCCTTTTACATTGCCTTTTTAGTGGACACTCAAGGGCATGCCGGAGGCTCCTGGCTGCAACTTTGCCCCTCCCTGCTTATTGATTGTCTACAGGGATGTACCTGAATGCTATATAGTTGCCTTTGTGTCCCAGGGTAAGAAAAATGCCTTTATTCCTGAACAGCAGTGTAAATATGCTAGTAGAAATTTACATTCTGTCAGAAAACTGATTGGATCTCAGCCTCCCTCTGACTAATGGTAGGAATGGCACCATTGCATGCAGAATAGGAGTAGAGAAGCAAGAAGCAAGAAGCAAGAACCATGTTGGCAATATATGCAGGTCCTGTTAAGTCTGCTGCAGTAAATATTATAGATTGATAACACAGAAGACTGAACATATTTTACATCATGCTGCATTGGCTAAAAAGAGGTCAGGGCTATTGTACTCTTCTACCTGTCACTTTCTGTAATGGGTGAATAAGAAAAAAATTAAATGAAAAATATTACAAACCATGTACAACTGATATGCTTCTACCATAAGCATTTGTAATTTTCAGGTGGTTTATTTAGCAATTTATCTCAAAATAATAACAAAGTCAAAGATCAATTAATATCTGGAGTGCAGGTCTATATACATTCTGTGTGAGTTTATTTGTGTGTGTGTGTGTGTGTATGTGTGTGCTTGTTTTCATTTTAATCTCTAGACCTTTATCATCTTTTTTGACCTCATATTGTATTAGCTGTGCTAATTATGTACAAAATAACCCAGTCATAATAATGGAGTGATGAATTGGTAATGATAATCCTTTGAAGGCCTAAGTTCATTGTAATCAGAGGGAAGGCCAACAGCTCTGGGAAAGGGAAAGGCTTCTTGGGAATACATTTCATTTCAAATGACAAAGAACTATTAAAACCTGAACAGTTAAATGAATTGTGACAGACACAATTATGAATTGTTTCTCTTTTTAACACGCTTCTCCTCACCAATAGCGAAATCACTCTGTTTATTCTTATTTATTGAAGGCGTGTATTTATTTTCCAAATAAAACTGCCTGGGGATGAAATCCAACATTGTGTGAATGAAAGACTAGGGGCCCTTCCACACAGCCCTATATCCCAGAGTGTGGACTCAGATAACCCAGTTCAAAGCAGATATTGTGGGATTTTCTGCCTTGATATTCTGGGATATAGGGCTGTGTGTAAGGGCCCTCGCTCATTAGATGGACTTGTGTACAAACTAATAGCAACAGTTTTCATTACTACCAGGAGCTAATCTTTTGAAATACTAATGGATATGAATTGCACAATTCACTTCATAATACTATGCATTGAATTTACAACAATATATTAGTTGCAATCCAGAGCAGGGAACGAGGCCCTAAGATAACTATCCACCACACTTGACTGTGAAAAACAATCCTTTTTTATTGAAGAAAAATGGTTACAAAATAAAGGAAAAATGCAAGTCAAAAGCCACAGCAAAATCAGCAAACATGAATTTAAATGGACAAAACAAAACCCAAAGCCACACTGTAAAATACTGGAACCTGTTAGCAATCCACTAACCGTACTTGATATCCTAGAAATCTTTCAAGACAATGGCCAGGAAAACCGGGAGAACTGCCAAGGTCTTCATCAATCTGAAACATTGCCTGAGCTGAGAAAGTCAGCCCGGCGGAAGGCACTTCAAGCCAAAGAATTGGTTCCGTGAACCACCCCTCTGCTTTGAAGCCATTGTTTGTTTTTCTCTTAATCGGGAAGACCTTCGCAAGCTGAGTTTTACTTCTGTCTTGCCAGATCTGGCCCCTTCTGTTCTCATTAGAGTTACCAGGTGCAAAAGGGAGTGAAAGTTCATGGCTTCCCTCTGAGACATTCTCATGAACACTGGTACTTTCATTTTCCAAATCTACAGAAGTTTCTTCCTCACTAATTTCAGGAGCATTGGCATTTTCCAAATCTACAGAAGTTTCTTCCTCACTAATTTTAGGAGCATTGGCATCAAGAGGTACATTTTCATTAGCATCAGGAGGAACAAACAGAGAATCAGGTTCAAGTTCAAGCTGGGAGAACTGGCATTCTATAGAACCTCTTTAGAGGTTCTATAATATGGGGATAATATTGGTGGCATGCACTTATTTTAACCCAGGTGACACAAGGGGCCAGCTGGCTCACATCAGACAATGCCGGCATGGCTCCATGAGTGAAGGAGGATGGGGCCAGCACATCATACCACCAGGGCAATACAGAAGGCTTCCTGTGTTACCATAGAATTAGTGGGGGGAAGCTGCCCACTCCACATGAACTCTACACATGCTCCACACTTCCCCCCATGTGATCACCCTCACCTGGATCCAGGAGATGCGGGGCAAGAGGTGCTAGATCCCCACACACACCCCGATGAAGCAGAGGGACACTGGCAGCTGTGTGACAAGGTCATAATATTGCTTCTCTTGAGAGGATGCATATGTGTCAGGGCTCGGTTTCCTGGCCTTGGACATTGGCGCAAAAAACCAGAATCCTGACATGGAGAGCCGATAAGAGTATGCAGCTGGTGGCCTTGGGAGGAGCAGTTGGTGGTTGGCGGGGAACATTGAGCGGGAACTACGGTCGGCGGGAAAAGGGGATTCGAATATGGGGGAGGGTATATAAGGGTTAACTTGAGACTGTGTGCCAATCCTGGCTTTGTTGTGGTTCAGCAACAGCATGATGGGTCTGAGAGTGCAAGTGGGCATGATGGGAATGGGAATACAGATGCAGGTGCCCTGATTTCTCAGCCACAGTCTGTAGCTAGAGAGAAACGCTTGTTCTCACAGCCAAAGAATGTGGCTGATAAGACGCTCGGTGAAGGTCGGAGCAGCAAGCTCCAGGTGTTACGAAGAAGCGGGAGGATTGCGGCCAAATCTTGAGGCCATCTGCTGGTGGGAAAATTGCTTGTTAGTGAATTGTTTTAGTTTCATGTTTTGATGTTTCAACTATAAGTATGCTGCTGGAAAGCTGGTTCAGTGTCTGTTCAACTTTGCTAGAATGGATCACTGTACCTACGGCCCAGGGCTTGGGCCTGAGGGGATTGCCTGCTTCCTGTAACTTCATGCTGATGCCTGGAATGTATCCTGCTCCTTTGCCTCAAGTTCCTGCTTTGATTTAAGAAACCCTATTGAACCTATCTTTTGTACTTTGGAACTTTTACTGCTTTTACCTGGATTTGTTTGAAACCTCAATAAACTATTTTCTTCTCAAGCTTGGCTGGTTTGTCAGAGAGCAAGGTGAAGCTAATCTGAGACGCAACAGTTTGAACAGACCACTCAACAAAGTCCTTGCTTCTCCCAGCCACAATGAATCCTGCAGATGCCCAGGCCATGCAACAGCAGCTGCAGGACCTCCAGCAGCAGATAACCACGATGCAAGCGCAAAGGGCGCCTGCCCCTCCGGCTCCGCCACTAAGGACTCCTATGGCTTTGCCCAACAAGTTCTCCGGAGACAGTCAACGGGTCAAGGACTTCTTGGGACAGTGTGATGCCTACCTCACAGTGCGGGAAGCGGAGTTTGCGAATGAGGCAGCCAAGGTGGGCTTTGCCTACAGTTTGTTGGAGGGCCCGGCCCTCTCCTGGGCCACCGCGCTACGTGAGGCCGCTTCCCCTGTGTGCAACACTGTCAAGGCTTTCATGGATGAACTGCACAAAGTTTGGGGAGGCCAAGTCCACCGGGAGATGGCGGATCGTAAGCTGCGTGCCCTAACGCAAAAAGAGGGGTGTTTGGCCCAATACATTTCGGAGTTTCGTGTATTGCAGCGGGAGCTGGCTTGGAACGATGCCGCCTACATGAGCGCTTTCAAAGCGGGGCTCACCCAGGAGATGCAGTTGGAGGTGGCCCGTTCCGCTGTTCCGGCCGACTTGGAAGAATTAATGTCTCTATGCATCCGGATAGATGGATCCATGGCCAATCAACGTCACATCATTGCTGGGCCTCGGCCAGTGGGCCGAAAGGGGGCCGATGCGGGAGTGCCACGTCGCTTGGGTCCGCCGCCACCTCGTGAGCCCGATGCAGAGGAACCCATGCAGCTGGGCTCCCTGCGCCCCAAAGTTGATGCGGCGGAAAAGGCGCGGCGACAACGGCTCAACCTGTGTTGGTACTGTGGGGGCAGCGGGCATTTCTCTCGGGAGTGCCCTGTAAAGAAGAAGACGGGCCCCCGCTTGGCAGGGGTCTCCGGCTCAGTGGAGCCCGTGGCGCCCCAAGCCCAGGGATCCGGCGAACAATGGGCCGAGCAGCCGGCGGGGGAAGGCAACGACCGAGTTTAGCTGGGCTCGCAAACTCGGTCTCCACCCCGTTTCCGGAGCCCGCAACTGGGATGCTGTTTTTTCTCTTGGTTTCGTTTTGTGTGGCCCAAAAGACTCCCACGGCGGTGCACGCCCTGGTCGACTGTGGGGCCACTAACAACTTCATGGACAGTCGGTTTGTGGAGCTCCTTGGATTACAATGCTTAGACCTCCAGCCTCCCCGGGATGTACAAAACTTTGATGGGCGTTTGCTGAAAGCCGGGCCGGTGGCTCGCTATACAGCGCCCGTGATGATGAGAGTCGGGAACCATGTGGAAGAGGTCTCCTTTTTGGTCACGGACCTTCCACATGCCGTGGTGTTGGGGATTCCATGGCTGGCCAAGCACAACCCGACCATTTGGTGGGCTCAAAAAAGACTACAGTTCACTTCGGTCTCTTGTAAAGAACATTGCGGCGTGGAGCGGAAGTGTCAAACCGCAGAAGTGGCCGCACAAGCCACGGGCAAGTTGCCCGCCAAATACCAAGATTTCTGGGATGTTTTCAGCGAGAAGGAGGCGGAAAGACTTCCTCCACACCGGCCGTACGACTGCGCTATTGACTTGATCCCGGGCGCCCCGATTCCGCGTGGGCGATTGTATTCTCTCTCGGAACCAGAGCTGGCGGCTCTCCGGGAGTTTTTGGATACTAACCTACGCAAGGGGTTCATTCGTCCCTCGCAGTCGCCGGCTGGGGCCCCAGTTTTGTTTGTCAAGAAAAAGTCAGGGGAGTTGCGGCTTTGCAACGACTATCGGGCATTGAACAACATCACGATCAAGAACCGTTATCCGCTTCCCCTCATCCCGGAGCTTCTCGACCGTTTGCGGGGGGCTCGGATTTTCACCAAATTGGACCTAAGGGGGGCCTACAACTTGGTGCGTATTCGGGAAGGGGACGAGTGGAAGACAGCCTTCCAGACCCGGTCCAGTTCTGGTCAAAGCAAGCCAAGGGGGAGATGGAGAAGGTGGGGGGTGTCCGGATAAGGGCCATCAAAAGGACCAAAGGTCTGGAAACTCTGAATTCCTGAGGACTAGTTTATGGAGCTATGGGGAATGTTTAACTTGGAGAAGAGAAGGATGGGAGAAGGGGACCTAAAAAACGATGCGTAAATATTGGAAAGGATGTCCCATTGAGGAGGTGACATGCATTGTTTCCTTTTTGCTCTGGAGACCAGGAGTGTTGCGCTAGAGCCCTGAAACACCTTTCCCCCACAAACCACAATCCAGAAAGTAAATGTTTATTTAGAGAAAAGTATGTAACAAATAAGCAAAGAGAATCAAAGTCCCAAAAGGTATTTCCAAGATAGCCGAGAGTCCAAAATCCTTTCAAATATGGTCTCCAGAGTCAATCCACAGATATATCCATAAACATGAGAGTATCAATCCAATGTGTCCAGAGGAGGGTGACTCAAATGATCCAGGGTCTGGAGAACAAGCCCCATGAGGAGTGGCTTAAAGAGCTGGGCATGTTTAGCCTGAAGAAGAGAAGGCTGAGAGGAGATATGATAGCCATGTATCAATATGTGAGAGGAAGCCACAGGGAGGAGGGAGCAAGCTTGTTTTCTGTTTCCCTGGAGACTAGGACTGAGCAATGGCTTCAAACTACAAGAAAGGAGATTCCATCTGAACATTAGGAAGAACTTCCTGACTGTGAGAGCCGTTCAGCAGTGGAACTCTCTGCCCTATAGTGTGGTGGAGGCTCCTTCTTTGAAAGCTTTGAAACAGAGGCTGGATGGCCATTTGTCAGGGGTGCCTTGAAGGCAATTTTCCTGCTTCTTGGCAAAATGGGGTTGGACTGGATGGCCCATGAGGTCTCTTCCAACTCTTTGATTCTATGATTCTATGTGAGAGTATCAATCCAAGGCAGGCAATCAATGCCACACATGAACTAGAAACAGAAACAACTTAGAAACTTGAATCCATGAATTCCAAAACTGTAGGACCAAGAACTGAGAGCTGTTCACTTGAATACAATGTTGCTCTCGTAAAGGATTGTACCAGCAGCAAACATTTTAGAAGGCCTAAATCCCTCCCATGACATCATTTCTCACATACCTGCTTCCCTCTCCTTATCTCTAAGCCTCTGGGAAAAGCGAGTCTGTCTCTGTTGTACACTCTGCCTCTGAAGTTCCAAGCGCCTGGATCTGGACAAAACATTCATCTCCCGCATTTCTCTTCACCGGCACTTCTGGCAAATTCTCATGAGAACTGATATTGTTCTCACCAGGGCCTCAGTCCCTCCCATGGCATCATTTCTCACATACCTGCTTCCCTCTCCTTATCTCTAAGCCTCTGGGAAAAGCGAGTCTGTCTCTGTTGTACACTCTGCCTCTGAAGTTCCAAGCATCTGGATCTGGACAAGCATTTGTCCACATTTCTCACAGCCAACACTTCTGACAGATTCTCATGAGACTGATATTGTTCTCACCAGGGCCTCAATCTCTCCCATGACATCATTTCTCACATACCTGCTTCCCTCTCCTTATCTCTAAGCCTCTGGGAAAAGCGAGTCTGTCTCTGTTGTACACTCTGCCTCTGAAGTTCCAAGCGCCTGGATATGGACAAAACATTCATCTCCCGCATTTCTCTTCACCGGCACTTCTGGCAAATTCTCATGAGAACTGATATTGTTCTCACCAGGGCCTCAGTCCCTCCCATGACATCATTTCTCACATACCTGCTTCCCTCTCCTTATCTCTAAGCCTCTGGGAAAAGCGAGTCTGTCTCTGTTGTACACTCTGCCTCTGAAGTTCCAAGCGCCTGGATCTGGACAAAACATTCATCTCCCGCATTTCTCTTCACCGGCACTTCTGGCAAATTCTCATGAGAACTGATATTGTTCTCACCAGGGCCTCAGTCCCTCCCATGACATCATTTCTCACATACCTGCTTCCCTCTCCTTATCTCTAAGCCTCTGGGAAAAGCGAGTCTGTCTCTGTTGTACACTCTGCCTCTGAAGTTCCAAGCATCTGGATCTGGACAAGCATTTGTCCACATTTCTCACAGCCAACACTTCTGACAGATTCTCATGAGACTGATATTGTTCTCACCAGTCTCATGGGAACTGCCAGGAGATTCCAAAACAACTCTCTCCAGGCCATTTCCATCCTCCTCTGGTCCCTCTGAATCTGTCCCAGCATCTCCTTCCTCATCTTCTGAGCACTCAGAATCTGACCAGGTTACAACAGGGACACAATGGAGCCATGGATTCAAATTGCAGGGGGGGGGCAGGGGAAAGATTCCAGCTAAACATCAAGACAAACTTCCTGATGATACAGGCTGTTTGAGAGTGGAATATGTAGTTGCCTAAGGTTGCAATGGAGTCTCCTTCTTTGGAGGTTTTTAAGGAGAGGCTGGATGGCCATCTGTCGGGAAGGCTTTGATTGTGCTTTTCCTGCCTGGCAGAATAGGGATGGACTGGATTGCCTTTGTGGTTCTCTTCCAATTCTGTTATGTGTAGCTACATAGCATTATTGTCCAGTATGCATTGCATTGTCGAAGGCTTTCATGGCTGGAATCACTGGGTTGTTGTAGGTTTTTTCGGGCTATATGGCCATGTTCTAGAGGCATTCTCTCCTGACGTTTTGCCTGCATCTATGGCAAGCATCCTCAGAGGTAGTGAGGTCTGTTGGAACTAGGAAAATGGGTTATATATCTGTGGAATGACCAGGGTGGGACAAAGGACTCTTGTCTCCTTCAAGAAGAACTGAACCACCTCAACTGGGCTCTCCAGGCCAATGGAGACTCCACCTCAGACATCAGAAGAGCTGCGAGACAACCGAGAAGAAGCCACGAGAGTCAAGATGAAGATCCACCCAGAGGAAAAGTGTCCTTGCCATACATCAAGGGAACCACTGACCGCAGAGGGAAGCTGATGAGGAAACACAACATACAAACTATCTACAGACCCACCAAGAAAATCCAACAATGCTACGTTCAGCAAAGGACAAGAGGGATCCTTTCACTTCTGCAGGAGTCTACCGTATACCATGCAGCTGTGGACAAGAAGTCTCCAGAGGGACCACCAAACGCAGCAGCATTGCCCAACACACGCATCAAGGAACATGAAAGGCACTGCAGACTACTTCAACCAGAGAAACCAGCCATAGCAGAGCACCTGAGGAACCAACCTGGACACAGCATATTATTTGAGAACACAGAAATGCTGGACTACTCCAACGACCACCATGTCAGACTACACAGAGAAGCCACTGAAATCCACAAGCATGTGGACAATTTCAACAGAAAGGAGGAGACCATGAAAATGAACAAAATCTGGTTACCAGTATTAAAAAACTCTAAAATTACAACAGCACAACAACAGAGAGGAAACAAACAAGGACATCTCATCACCTCTCAACAAAAAATTGCTCCAGGCACTGCCAGGCCATTATATGCTAATCAAGGTGGTCAGTTGATACATTCCCACCTAGCTCCAGCAGACAAGAGTCCTTTGTCCCACCCTGGTCATTCCACAGATATATAAATTTATTTATTTATTTATTTACAGCTTTTTTATTCCGCCCTTCTCCTCACCCCGCAGGGGACTCGGGGCAGATTACAGCGCACACATATATGGCAAACATTCAATGCCAGTTTTTGACATACAAACATATACAGACATAGACAGAGGCCAATTAACTTTTCTGGCCGCCGGGGGAGCTGTCGCTTTCATCGTCCATCTGCGACACTGATGAAGCACTTCCGCATTCCCCGCATGCTTCCCCGCTGGAATGCTTTGCTGGAGTCTTCTTTATGGCCTCATAAATCAGTTAATTTAGCCTCCCCACACTTTTTTTAAGGTGGTACCTTATTTTCCTACTTGACAGATGCAACTGTCTTTCGGGTTGCAAAGGTCGACAACAGGCTACACAATTGGTTGGAAACCCACTCCAACCCGGGCTGGCTTCGAACTCATGACCTTTTGGTCAGAGTGATCTTAATGCAGCTGACACTCAGCCTGCTGCGCCACAATCCCGGTGGAGACCTCTCTACCTCTGAGGATGCTTGCCATAGATGCAGGCGAAACGTCAGGAGAGAATGCCTCTAGAACATGGCCATATAGCCCGAAAAAACCTACAACAACCCATGCATTGCATTGTTGCTCTGGGCTGGAACGGACGCACGTTTGAAATTGCATTCTCTGGATCCAGCGCATCTCCTGGATGCGAGACACAATGCTTGCTTCAGTTCTCTTGCTTGGCCCCATTCCGGTGCAGATACTTAAGAGAAGCCGGCATCCGCATGTGCCAAACAAAGCAAAGCAGCATTTCCTGAGCCTGACAGTCGACGCCGGCATTAGCTGTAAGCATCACTTGGTGCTTTAAGAGCATTAGAGCCCCAAATCCTGGGATGAGGCGGTGTCACTCACAAGTTGGGAGTCTTTGGAGGAGATGGAAGGCCGGCCAAGGCAAAATGCCCGGCTTCCTTTTGTGGCCTTTGGCCAGTTGCTGGTGCTGCGGTGTCCACATCTGGCCAGTTTTCCGCGTCAAAGCAACCAAGAGCCAGCGGTGGGCAAGGGTTCGGCCACAAGCATCCAGCCACAAATCCTTTGGAGCTCTGCCTCTCCATCTTAAGAGGGTTACGCAAGATAAAGAAATATCAAATATCAGATGAATTTTCTAGGTCAACAGTAGGCTCCATCTGACGCACAGGACTCTGTGGGAAGCCGTTATTAGTGAGAGGAACGGGGAAGTGTTGGCAGCTTTAACAGGGATTAATACACGACAGAAAAGCTCAACATCTGGGGGGTGCAATTGGCTATGAAGATTGCTCAGCAAGACCAGATCCACTTACCTGTTGTTGTTGTTGCGCTGCTGCTTTTGTTGTTGTGTATTGCTCATAAAGGGACAATGAGTCAACTTCCTTGTTGCATTTTGCTTTGATATAAAAACTTTGCCATCGCTTGGCCCTTGTACTTGCAGGCTCCAAATGCAAAGTGACAGGCCCTCCATGACGTTGGAAACACTCCTTGGTGTCCATGCGCTGTGTCTGTTGCCTGTGGCTCTTGATAGCATTTATGCCACTGTATTGCACACAACTAACAGTCATAAGGTGCATCCTTCCAGGTGTTTTGGACTTCAACTCCCACACTTAAGGTGATGAGGGGGGAAAGGAACGGGCCTGAGGCCATTAGGAATGGTGGGAGTTGTAGTCCAAAACAGCTGGAGGGAGGGCACAAGTTGGCCCATGCCTGATCTACAATGTTAAGACCTGCCTATAAACATTATATTGCATTACATTCAGTTTTTGGTCTCTATTACCCCAACTTTCATTGTTTACACTACTAAAATTTTTGGAAAGTCTGTGTTTCTTCATGTCTCCTTTCTTGGAGCATGAAAAATCAGTTCGTGAGCGTGTTAACTGAAAAATGCAAGCCTGAAGCTGATTGGTTGGTCCATGCTCAGGGAGCTAGCTGAGCCTGGGAGTTTTGGAAACAGTTACATTTTGAGGTTTGAGCTGTGCAGGTTGTTTGTCACCTGTGGCTCTTGAGAGCATTTATGCCACTGTTTTGCAAACAACTAACAGTCATAAGGTGCATCTACACCAGGCATGGGCCAACTTGGGCCTTCCTTCCAGGTGTTTTGGACTTCAACTCCCACAATTCCTAAGCGCCTACCATTTAGCTGCTAAGGAGGGAAAGGAAGAGGCCTGAGGTCGTTAGGAATTGTGGGAGTTGTAGTCCAAAACAGCTGGAGGGAGGGCCCAAGTTGGCCCATGCCTGATCTACAATGTTAAGACCTGCCTACAAACATTATATTGCATTACATTCAGTTTTTGGTCTCTATTACCCCAACTTTAATTGTTTACACTACTAAAATTTGGAAATTATGTGTTTCTTCTATGTTGTTTACATCTATTAATCATGTATCCTTTCTTGGAGCATGTAAAAATCAGTTGGTGAGTGTGTTAACTGAAAAATGCAAGCCTGAAGCTGATTGGTTGGTCCATGCTCAGGGAGCTAGCTGAGCCTGGGAGTTTTGGAAACAGTTACATTTTGAGGTTTGAGCTGTGCAGGTTGTTTGTCACCTGTGGCTCTTGAGAGCATTTATGCCACTGTTTTGCAAACAACTAACAGTCATAAGGTGCATCTACACCAGGCATGGGCCAACTTGGGCCTTCCTTCCAGGTGTTTTGGACTTCAACTCCCACAATTCCTAAGCGCCTACCATTTAAGCTGCTGGGGAGGGGAAGGGGCCTGAGGCCATTAGGAATTGTGGGAGTTGAAGTCCAAAACAGCTGGAGGAAGGGTCCAAGTTGGCCCATGCCTGATCTACAACGTTAAGACCTGCCTATAAACATTATATTGCATTACATTCAGTTTTTGGTCTCTATTACCCCAACTTTAATTGTTTACACTACTAAAATTTTTGGAAAGTCTGTGTTTCTTCTATGTTGTTTAAATCTATTAATCATGTCTCCTTTCTTGGAGCATGAAAAATCAGTTCGTGAGTGTGTTAACTGAAAAATGCAAGCCTGAAGTTGATTGTTTGGTCCACGCTCAGGGAGCTAGCTGAGCCTGGGAGTTTTGGAAACAGTTACATTTTTAGGTTTGAGCTGTGCAGGTTGTCTGTCACCTGTGGCTCTTGAGAGCATTTATGCCAATGTTTTGCAAACAACTAACAGTCATAAGGTGCATCTACACCAGGCATGGGCCAACTTGGGCCTTCCTTCCAGGTGTTTTGGACTTCAACTCCCACAATTCCTAATGGCCTCAGGCCCCTTCCTTTCCCCCCTCATCAGCTTAAGTGGTAGGCTGTTAGGAATTGTGGGAGTTGAAGTCCAAAACACCTGGAGGGATGCACCTTACGATTGTTAGTTGTTTGCAAAACATTGGCATAAATGCTATAGAGAGCCACAGGCGACAGACAACCTGCACAGCTCAAACCTAAAAATGTAACTGTTGCCAAAACTCCCAGGCTCAGCTAGCTCCCTGAGCGTGGACCAACCAATCAGCTTCAGGCTTTGAATTTTTCAGTTCACACACTCACCAACTGATTTTTACATGCTCCAAGAAAGGATACCTGATTAATAGATGTAAACAACATAGAAGAAACACATAATTTCCAATTTTTTTAGTAGTGTAAACAATTAAAGTTGGGGTAATAGCGATCAAAAACTGAATGTAATGCAATATAATGTTTGTAGGCAGGTCTTAACATTGTAGATCAGGCATAGGCCAACTTGGGCCCTCCCTCCAGCTGTTTTGGACTACAACTCCCACAATTCCTAACGACCTCAGGCCTCTTCCTTTCCCTCCTTAGCAGCTTAAGTGATAGGCTGTTAGGAATTGTGGGAGCTGAAGTCCAAAACACCTGGAGGGAAGGCCCAAGTTGGCCCATGCCTGGTGTAGATGCACCTTATGACTGTTAGTTGTTTGCAAAACATTGGCATAAATGCTATCGAGAGCCACAGGCGACAGACAACCTGCACAGCTCAAACCTAAAAATGTAAGTGTTGCCAAAACTCCCAGGCTCAGCTAGCTCCCTGAGCGTGGACCAACCAATCAGCTTCAGGCTTTGAATTTTTCAGTTCACACACTCACCAACTGATTTTTGCATGCTCCAAGAAAGGATACCTGATTAATAGATGTAAACAACATAGAAGAAACACATAATTTCCAATTTTTTTAGTAGTGTAAACAATTAAAGTTGGGGTAATAGCGATCAAAAACTGAATATAGTGCAATATAATGTTTGTAGGCAGGTCTTAACATTGTAGATCAGGCATAGGCCAACTTGGGCCCTCCCTCCAGCTGTTTTGGACTACAACTCCCACAATTCCTAACGACCTCAGGCCTCTTCCTTTCCCTCCTTAGCAGCTTAAGTGATAGGCTGTTAGGAATTGTGGGAGCTGAAGTCCAAAACACCTGGAGGGAAGGCCCAAGTTGGCCCATGCTTGCACTAGCTTTAGCCTGGTTTAATATCAGGCAAATTCAAAATTAGCTATTTTGAACTTGTCTGAATTTGCAAGTGCCGTTGACTCCCAGTTTGGGGAAACAGGTGGGATGTTATTATTGCATTACTGATTATAATGGTCTCCTCCCTGCAGAGACTTCCAGGAGCTGAGCCCACTCTGTGTCCATGAGACGTGAGTATCAGAGACCTCTTTTTTGGGGGTGTGGGAGGGGGGGATGCTGATGGCGAAGTGGGTCTCTAAACCCATCCCATAGAGAGCAATGGGCTGTCTTTGGGTCCTGGTCCAGAGTAATCTCAGCACCCCAGAGCCAGCCTCTTGCCTCTAGCGGTCATCTGCTGACCACTTTACTAGCACCTCCACGGCCCCAACAGCATGGGTCACATGAAACAAAAGGTAGTCCTTTTGGCATTACTAGATTAGGATCTGGAGCTGGATGGACCCTCCATCAGCCCTGGAAATATGGGGTGCTTGGTCCATTGTGTATACATATGGAAGGGGATGCTTGTTGGAGTTATAAAATATGCTAACCTATTCTGAAGACTTTAAGTATTACTTTATGTACTGTAACCGATGTATGTACAGGGTTAGTCAAAATGAATAGGCCAATAAGAAAATTAATTTTAGACGAATGTATGTTTACTGTAACCAAACCACAGCTACGTAGCGACAGATAAACTATCAAAGTTTTTTTTGAGCAACACACATGTACGTTAATGCCGCTAGGCGTCGCTAGGGGTCGCTGTTTTCAAAATGGCGGAATCAAGCAAAGAGAAGGCGTTTTGTGTGATGACATTTGCTAAAACAATGTCAGTAATTACGGTCCAGCGAGAATTTCGAGCCAAGTATGGCAAGGAACCACCTCATCGACATTCCATTGCGAGGTGGGTAAAGCAATTTGAGGAGACGGGCTGCTTATGCAAGGGTAAAACCACAGGACGACCACGTGTCTCCGAAGACACAGCTGCATTCGATGCCATTACGTCGGATGTGCTGCAACGGATGTGGAATGAACTGGACTATCGCTTGGACATCTGCCGTGTCACACGGGGCGCCCATATCGAACATCTCTGAAGGCGAGACAAAACTTTGATAGTTTATCTGTCGCTACGTAGCTGTAGTTTGGTTACAATAAACATACATTCGTCTAAAATTAATTTTCTTATTGGCCTATTCATTTTGACTAACCCTGTATTTTTATATGGCATCTAATTGTGCCAATTTGTAAGCCACCCTGAGTCGTCTTTGGGCTGATATGGGCAGGATAAAAGTGATGAAAATAAATAAACAGTGAGGAAGCAGGAGGAGAACAAAACCCTGAAGTTAGGTTTGTTAGCATTAGCAGAAGTTTTGCACGGGCTTAGAGGAAAACATAGACTCTGGAGACGTCTGGTTACAAAGCAGGTTCCATTGACTTAGAGCAGTTCCAAAACACATCCATTACAGTAAGCGAGCAGACATGAAGTACACAGTACGCAGGACAAAGGAAGTTGAAGTGTAAACAATTCTGCATCTGAACAAAATCTGAACAAAATCTGGCTACCAGTATTAAAAAACTCAAAAATTACAACAGCAAAACAACAGAGGGGAAACAAACAGGCACATAAAATCACTCTCAACAAAAGATTCCCCCCAGGCACTTCCAAGCCATTGAATGCTAATCAAAACCTCACTACCTCTGAGGATGCTTGCCATAGATGCAGGCGAAACGTCAGGAGAAAAATTGCCTCCAGAACATGGCCATATAGCCCGGAAAAACCTACAACCCAATTCTGCATCTGCTTAGCAGATACCAGACACTCCCTAATTTTCGCACAACTCCACACAGAGAGTGTCTCAGGGTTACTGTCTCACAGCCTCTTACATAAACATACATCACAGCAAATACAATCTTGTGGCATCCATATTTTTACTGCATGAAATTACATCTAAAACACATTAGATACATCAACATACTCTCACAAGGTTTACATCAGGTGTATCCATTAATGAAAGCATAAATGGATCATTTCATTGTGCAAGAGTATCTAAGAATGTTAGAGACCCAAAATCAGGTCTTAGTATTCGGGTCCAGGTCACGGGAACACGTAAGGAAGGAAGGAAGGAGTCCAGTCCCAGAATGAGATCAAAGTCAAGGTTTTATTTTAGTTTCATCATGGCCATGAAGAAATCAGACAGACAGTCTGTGTTAAGTGCACACAGGCACCAACACTTATAAATGACTGCCGCACCCTCCTTGGTTTTTGCAAACCTTTTATACCATCAGGTAAACAAGAGAATGGAAAGTACCATTGACGGTTGACCTTTCACTCTTTCCAACACCCCCTCCCATCAACCTTTTGATACTTGCACCTGGCCTGAACCTTTGTTTGTCAAAACCTCAATTTGTTCTTTCCTTGCAAACTTTGCGCTTCACCGCAAACCCATTTCCTATGTAAGCTGAGTAATTTTGCAATTTAATATTCCAGCAACTTAAGTCAGGCATATAGCATGCACTTTAAATGTCACCTCGAGAGAGAGGGGTGCAAAACTTCTTGTCTTTTTAGAACACTCTCCTCCTTTTGACATGTTGCTCTTTCTCTCCAAGGAGGGGTAAATTAGCAATAGCTTAACTATTGCTAATTTCACCCAAAGCCCCTTTCAAGAACACCAACAGAATAAGTTGGGGTGGGGTGATGTGCTGACGTATGGTGAATTGTAGGATTCTGGAGAGAGCTGAGAATACTGTAAATCGCTGCAACAAAAAATAGAGTTTTCCCGTGGAAAGAAGCTCCTGTATTTCCTGTTTGTTGTTAAGTCTGCCCTGAGTCACCTGAGGGCTGAGAAAGATGGTATACAAATATAGTAAATAAATAAATATTGCTCATACTATAGACAGGACTTTAACACTGCATGGAGGTTTGAGCTGAGAAACTCTGTTTCAGGTTGAATAAATACCTGCCAAAGCTTTGCTTGACCAATCTCCCTCTTCTGTCCTCTTTTTTTCTGCAGGGAAGGGACCACGCAAGAGACCCTCCCTGACTCCAGACGGTCAGTGCTGTATTGCCTGTGCTTCCCATTGCAATGAGGGAGGGGGGCAGGCCCTTTGGGGGTTCCTGGTTGATCTACACAAATCATGCCTTGCTGTGGCCCAATGTCCAGGTGGCTCAAGCAAGGGAGCCAAGACACAGAGGGAAGGTCAAGGCCAGAACGAGCATGGCATAGTCATACACACTGTTGCACTCCAGAACAAGAAATAGCCCCTCTGACTATAAACACACCACATGTTGAGGGAAGGAACAATCCTTTTATTAAAACTTAACAAAAAAGCCAGTAGAAATAAATGCTTGTAAAGGTAGAGAAGATTCCAAAAAGCAATAAGGCATTCAAAGGCAGCAAGGTAAAACAGTGTCCAAACTTAGCAATCAAAAGCAATGTCCAAAAAGCATGAAAATACAACCCAAGGCAATGATGATCCAGACAGAAATCAACCAAAAAGCAAGAACCGACCAGACGCTGCTAGTCAACTTGAAAGGCTAGAAAAAACCATGAAGACGAGACCACTTGAACAGGAATTCCATGAAGCTTGAGCTTGGTTTCCAAATGATGCCTGATCTGACAACATTTTCTACAGGCAAACCTTAAATCCCAAAAACTGGTTTCGTTTTCCCCAAGTCTTTGACCTTAACTGACGAATTCTTTCATATCTACGTAAACATTGGGTCTCTTGTAGATTCCAGCTAATCTCCAGCCACCAACTCTGCTTATCTGACTCCTCATTAACTTTACTAGGTGTGAGACTGTTTTACAAACTAGAATCTGGAGAGCTCACAGGCGGAGGGAGTAAACCTTTCTCCCAAGTCCTGACAGAAACATTCTCATGAGAATCTGCCCTTTGCACCAAAGCCTCTCTGTCAGTGTCTGCATGACACTTATTGACCAAAGTGTCTCCGTCTTGCACCTCAGAGCCAGTCCCAGCATCCCCCACATCAGAAACAACAGGAGACCGATTTCCCTCCTCATTACGCACATCAGACACAGAAACATCAGGAGACTGAAATACAATCACAGGTTCAAGCACAGGCTGAGTCCCAACGCACACACACAAAAGCAAGCAAGCAATCGCACACAATTTTAGCATAAACAACCACATGCTGATCAACACCATTGCAAGGTGCTGTGCTACTTGCAGAATAGCAAGATAGGGCAACACATGCGCAGAGTGGTACAAGGCGCAATGGCCATAGAGGCAGAGTGTAAGAAGCAGCCTAGGAGGGAGGACACCCTGAAAGACGCACAAAGGGAAGTGTTTAATAGGAAAGAAGGATGGGAAGAGGTGGCAGCCCTCCTCCCCACCTGAATGCACAAGGGCACTTGTGATGCAGTCGTGCTTCTTCCTGGATGTGGTCACAATCCTTCGCAGTGGCTGCATGTGTACGACGTACAATGGAGAAGCCCACTACTCTCCTTTCAGAAGTTGGAACCTCACTCCCCCAAACTGGCTGGATTTGTTTTCCAAAGAGTTGGAGAGGGAGTGTGTTGCTTTGGGAGACAGCTTTGGGAGGCTTCCCTGCTTTGTTTGCGGCTGAGTATTGTTCCCTGCTGTGGGAAGCAAACGTGGGTGGAGAAAGCCAATCATAGAAGGCGGGGGAATGAAAAGGGGACTCCGAAGAGCTCTTTGCAAGTTGACAGATCGTGCAAGCTGACAGATTGTGCAAGCAAGCAGGGGGCCATTTGTGCCATGCATGGGGGGGGGCATCCGCATTGTACTTGGGGCTGTGTTTCCTTGTACTTGGGGCTGTGTGTCCTCTTACCTTACTTGCCTAACCCCCTTGGAATTTTTGCTGGCACAATCTTCAAGGAAGCGGTTCTCAACCTGCGGGTCACGACCCCTTTGTGGGTCGAATGATCCTTTCACAGGAGTCGCCTAAGAACACCGGAAACACATATTTCCAATAGTCTTAGGAACCGAGACACTAACTTTTTCCTGCCCCCTTTGCTTCCCAGAGGCCTCTTTTCTTCTCTGGAGGGAGGTGGTGACACCCCCTCCACCATTTTAGGAGGAAGAGATGGGAGCGATGGGAATGAGATTTGCTTCATAGTCAAGAGGGAAGAGGAAGGAGGAGGAGATGGTGGATGTAGAAGGTGAGAGGAGGGCCCAGGGAGGGGGGCTTAGAGAGGGGTGGAGTGACCCTCCATGGCCGAATCTCAGAGAGAAAGAGAAGTAACATTGAAAATGCATCCTGCATATCAGATATTTATATTACGATTCAGAAGAGTAGCAAAATTAGTTTGTTGCAACTCAGAGTAAGATTCACCTTGCTTCCAAACACCACCATACAAGAGCTGTTGTTTATTGAGGAAAAAATCCAAGTCAAAATAAAGAATAAGCATTGCAAAGTTAAATGCAGAATATAGTTCCAAAGATCTTCAGGTAAAAACAGGAGACACAATCCTATTGGCAAAGTACAAACCAGAGTCCCAGGTAGAAGCAATAAAACAATTGTCCCATGAATCACAATGCAAGAAATCCCAAGCGTACTGCTTTCCAGGCTAAGGTTATTCCATGAAGCTTTCAGGCTAATGAGCTACATTGAACTGACGCTTTCCCTTGGTTTGCAAGAAGCCTAAATTCCTTTCTAACATGAAAACATTACATGAAATCATTGCAATGACCTTTCACCAAGCTGGCCTCTCATCTGCCGGTCAGGCGAGAACTCCACCTGACCCGGAGATCAAGACGAGTCTACCGGGTCAGGTCACTGTCAAGGCTTTCAGTACTTTCAGTATCATCATAGGAAGGAGGCGAATGCCTCCCCACCTGTTCACTATCTCCTTTGTTAAAATTCCTTTCACCTGGGAACCGCTGTGTTGATGTTGACTCTGCACTGTGCTGTCTGTGGGAGCCGCAGGCCCAGAGATCTGAGGCACAGAAAAAGAGCCAAGAATCTGAATCCCATCATCCTCATCATCACAGAACATCTCAGCCACAACACAGTTATGAAGTAGCAATGAAAATAATGTTATGGCTGGGGGGGGGGGGGGGGGGGGGGGAGAGGGTCACCACAACATGAGAAATTGTATTAAAGGGTCGCGGCATTAGGAAAGTTCAGAACCACTGCTTTAGAGAAATGGGGTTGTGGTGGAGTGGCCAAGAGTGACCCCATCTGACCCTCTCTTTCCTCCTCTCCTTGCAGGGGTTCCCCTCCGGATGGCTTGGCCTCCCCTTCTTCTCCTTCTCCTTCCTCGGGGGCTTTTCCTCCTCTTCCTCCTCCTCCGCTGCGGCTCCAGGACCTGCAGCCCGTCCACTACCAGGAGGGCGAGCGGCAGGGGCAGCCCGTGGTCCTGGGAACTGGCGGATTTGGCTCAGTCGAGCTGGTGAGCCTCAGGTGGTGCCTTCTCTTGGGTGGCCCTTTCCTTGTTGGTCCAGGGAGGAGCTTGTCTCCCCTTCATCCCTCCTTTTGTGGCCTCAGGTGCGGAGCGTGTGCACGGAGGAAGGGCTGGCTGAGCGCCTCTTTGCCCTGAAGCGCCTGCGCAAGGACCACGTGGTACAGAAGCGCCAGCAGGAGCATGTGCTGATGGAGAAGCGAGTCCTGCTCCAGAGCCGGTGCCCCTTCATCGTCCGGTCAGTAACAGAAACGGCCCACCTGTTGGGGTTCAGCCTGCGTGTGAACCTGAACCTGATTCTCTGATTGCTGAACCTGAACCTGATTCTCTGATTGTATTTCCTGATGCTGCTGAAAATGTATTTTTCCCTGATGGTAAATGAAAATGTTGATTCTGAGGTCAGTGGCTTGGAAAGTGAAACTACACATTCTGATGAGAACGCCTTGGAGCCAAGCGGTGATAGCTCTCCAGAGGAGCTAACACCTGGCTTCTTTAATGAGGATAGAAAAGGACAGATTTGGAAAAACAGGAGTGAATTGCAGAGTCTGTGAAGGTCAAGCAGATTAAGGGAAAAGGAAACACAGGCTTCAAAGCCTGGAGGCGTGTCACGAAATAGTTTCTTCAGTTTTAAGTGCCTTTCGCCAGGTTATCTTGTTAGATCAGGCATCGTTTAGACTGAGGTATTACCTTGGCAGATTTCCTGTTTCCCGTGGCCTACATCCGAAGAGGCTTCTAGTGCTCCAAGGACGGTTAGTGGATTGCTAACAGGTTCCAGGTTTTTACAGTGTTGCTTTTGGATTTTGATCTAGTTCATGGATATTCTTGACTGCTGAATTTTACTGTGGCTTTTTGACTTTGCATTTTCCTCTATTTTGTAACCATTTTTCATCAATAAAAAGGGATTGTTTTTTCCCACAGTCAAGCGTGGTGGATTGTTATCTTATGGTCTCGTTTCCTGCTCTGGGTTGCAACACCACCCTGTTGTTGCTGTTGTTGTTGTTCCTTTTCCTGGGGACCCTGTTGCTCCATGGGGCAAGGAATTACTTGGGTGAAGGTCTGTACTACTGTTAAGTGGATCTACAAGGGTTGAATGAAAAGTAATGCCTCCACCTTCGTAACTCCTCAACAGATG